GAAAACTCCCAATTGTCCCTTGGTGTGAGTGTGAGCGCGAATGGTTGTTCGTTTCTGTGTGCCCTGCGATTGTCTGGCAATCGGTTCAGGGTGTACCCCGTCTATTGCCCGAAGACAGCTGGGATAGGCTCCAGCACCCCCCGCGACCCTAGTGAGGATAAAGCAGTTTGGAAAATTGAATGGGTATATAAATATAAGCATATTAAAAATGGGGGAATGGGGGTGAGTCCAGGTTTTCATGACCGTCTACTCAATAGCCTGACAGCAGTCGGCAGGAAGGTGCAGCGGTACCGCTCCTTCTTGCAGCGCGGCTGTATCAGTCTCTGGCTGAAGGAGCTGCCCAGTGTCTGCCAGGGTGGCCTGGAGAGAGTGGGAGGGTCTGTTCATCATAACTATAGCTTAGCTAGCACCCTCCTGTTGCCCACCTCCTCCAGAGTGTCCAGGGAGCAGCCCAGTCGGTCCTGTCTCTCTCTGTCCCTGGCTGAGATGCTGCCTGACCAGCAGACTATGCCATAATGAATGGCCACCACAGAGTCATAGAAGGTCTTGAGTGACCCCTGAACTCTAAAAGACCTCAGTTTTCTGAGGAGGAAAATTAGGCCTGAACCATGATGAATAATAATCGAAGATACTTTTTTCCCCACTCAAAACTGCCATTGCAATTTGATTTGCAATTCCTTTTTTCAAAGTCCTTTTCGAATGAGTTCATTGTTCAATAATGAATATGTTTTACAACATACTTCCATGTCTACTATGCATATAGCGTACTAAGGTAACGACAAATGAAGCAATAATTAATATGAAAGATGGTGTACAGGTAAAACTTTACTAAAACCTTTGACATGCAGTTTGTAAGTGTTTACTAGGACAACATACTGTAATTTTACCACACGTGCGGTGTAAACATAAGTATATTGTAGCCAGTGAAGTGTGTATTCTGCTCATATTCAATCATGCTGTATAACTTTCCCATGCTCGCAGCGTAGCTTGGCGTCCTTGGAGCAATCATCACTTAAAATTGGAACACTCCCTACTGGAGACCTTGGAGAGATGGACAAACATTGGAATGCACAAGTTGATACAAGCTAAGAAACAGTTTAGTCGAAACAAAAGTTCTGATGTCACACCTTGTGTTTCGGTACCACCCTTATGATAATATAAATATGATGTGAATCCCTTCCTTCTTTGCACTCGTGACCAACACAGCCATTGTCTGTAAACCACGGGTGCCTGGAATATTCTGTTATTAAAAGCTTCGAAGAAACTGTTCATCGACTCCAGCCTATATTTGTATAACCAATGTCCTCCTCATCCGAAATTTAATGAACACGCGGGGGAAAGAAGGCCACGTTCCTCCAACACCGTGGTGAAGCCACACACTTCTCGGCATGGTCGTAAATAATTGTATTAAGATAAAAGTTGCTCTTTATTTGCTTTGTCACAAGCATGTATGTGATGTCTTTGAGTTGGAAGAGCAAAGGAACAGCATCAGGCAGTCAAAGGACCATTACAGTTGAAAGGACAGGCGTGCCATATAAGCTTGAAAGTTGGCTTCAGTAGTGTGCAGGCTGAATGGGTGTCAGCTGTGGCTGATAGCATCTCCTGAATGAATATACAGTCAAACCTCGGTTTTCGACCATAATCCGTTCCAGAAGGCTGTTCGGAAACGGAATTGTTCGAAAACCGAAACCATTTCCCATTAGAATCAATGTAAAAAAATTTAGAGTCTAGAAAACAACTTTTTAAAAGCATTTTTTTCAACTATTTTCAGTGATGGCAATTTTCCGTGGATACGCGGAAATCCGCCGTTTTATTTCTTAAATTGATCATTTTTGTGAATCGTCTAAATCCGTTGAGAAAATTTTAGGGGGGGGCCAGGTACCTTATCGTCGAGTTTTCACGAGCTCACCCCGATCAGTCTTTCCGTCTTCCGATTGTAAACAGCCCTGCGATTGGACGTGTATGATGTCTTACTTGTTGTGATTGGTTGCTATGTCGGCAAATGCAAATCACAACCAATCCGTGTTCGCCTTCCTAAACCCCTTTCTCGCGAATGCCGAATGTTATCGAGACTCGCGACGAAGCTAAAGTGCGTCAGATAGATGCGGATCTGAAAAACACGTTTCGATGGGACTGGTTGGATAGAAAGCTGACGGTGTCCCCAGTAGGAAACAGTAAAGAGGAACCATTGTGCTTGTGTCGGATTTCATGAAAAAAGCTCGATGTCGCCGGTAAAGCTCTGTGTACAGTGTGTGACGATGTCATTCTAAAATACATTCATAACCCATATATAGTAAACCGTGTGGGACTTCACTATCACTGTATGAGGTAAGAATCAACAGCTTTTTATCACATTTACACAACACTTTATGAATACAAGTTATGAACAAATCTTAAATATGTTAGGGAATGTGTTTCCTTTTTTAGTTTTGATTTTGAGCAGCAAATTTGGAGTTACATATTGGTGCTCACCAGGAATGCATAGGCAAAATTGCACAAATTTTCACTTGAAAGAATAGTGGCAATCTTGGGATTTTTTTCTGTTCAAGTTTCAAATAGTGTGTAAATTCAATACACTTCATCTTCAGCATGTTTAGTGCCACTTTTGTAAGTAACCACGCCCCGTCCAGGCCACGCCCCTTTCCGCTTTTTTCATCACTCGCCATTGCCATCACTGTATTTTACACCATAACCTGTATATATGTGTAATAAGAAAGCAGGTAACAACAAACTACACGCATTTTGTATGTTTTATTTTTACCAATTTTCACATAAACATTGACGTTCTAACATTAAAATTGAACATCTCCCTCTCTCTCTCTCTCTCTCTCTCTCTCTCTCTCTCTCTCTCTCTCTCTCTCTCTCTCTCTCTCTCTGTCTTTCTCTCTCATCGTGACAATTGTAGATTTTTTACAGCGGCAATCCTCATCCAGCATGGCCATGATGCCAATTTTACACCTTGAATTTTAAACCCTAAACTAATGGCTCTAACTATGGACACGCTGTCTGCAATCCTCCACTACGGTACGAGGTAACATCCCTCCATCCATTTTCTGAACCACTTTATCCACATAAGTCCAGTCTCGTCCATATTAAGTTTGCTGTGGAAGATATTCCTGGGCCTTGATGAGATTTTCAAACTCAACTTTATAGTCAATGTAATCAATTTTAATCCATTCCAAGTCTAGAAAACAACTTTTTTGAAAGCATTTCTTTCACTATTTTACACCATAAACTGTATACACATGTAATAAGAGAGCAGGTAATATGTAAAATATACTGTACAAACTGTACAAGTATGTTTTATTTTTAAACATTAACATTGAAACATAAAAATTCAAGTCACATATCTCTCTCTCTCTCTCTCTCTCTCTCTCTCTCTCTCTCTCTCTCTCTCTCTCTCTCTCTTTCTCACTCTCATCGTGACAATTGTAGATTACATTTTAAACCTTGAACTAATAAACCCTAAAGTCATGGCTGTAACTATGGACGCACTTTCTGCAATCCTACACTACGGCACTACGGTACACACACACACACACACACACACACACACACACACACACACACTTATTTATTTATTTATTTATTTATTGATTTATTCATTCATTCATTCCAGAATTTTCAGAAAAGTCCACTTTCACCTCTGTTTAAAATCAAACTCTTGAGGAGCAATGCTAGGATCCTCCTTTTATCAAATCTCCATACAATTGTCTTGTTTTTCCACAAATCCTATCTTGGCTAAGACTGTCCCCTGCTAGCTGTTTCTCATTTCTGAAAATAAGCAAACGTTTCTCCACTTCCTCTAATATTTGTGGCCTTTGTTCACGAAACACACGAGATCCTTTAGCCACCTCGCTGACTTTATGATGGTCTTTCTTTTTTAGGATGCTGCTGATTTCGGCATGCCGAACTCCTTAGCCAACACAGACAGATGCACACCTGATTCATATTTCACTATCAAATCTTTCTTAAATTCAATAGTTTTGCACACTATTTTCCTCTTTTTTCAGCAGCTTTACTACTTCCACTTGCTTTCTTTGGTGCCATGCAGAAATAACAGTCCAATTTGCGTCGATCTCAACAAACACGTCTGCTTTTTTAAAAACCTTTATTGAACACATCTGCTCACAATTGACGCACAATAGACGCTCTTTTTTTAAAAAAAATCTTTGAACACGTCTGCTCACAATGGATGCACAATGGATGCTCTTTTTTTTTTTTTATCTTTGAACACGTCTGCTCACAATGGACGCTTTTTTAAAAAAAAAAATCTTTATTGAACACGTCAACTCCTGCCTGAAAGTCTATGCTGACCAGCTGGCTCCGGTCTTCACACAAATCTTCAACAGATCCCTGGAGCGGTCCCATCCTGCTTCAAACAGTCCACCATCATTCCAGTTCCCAAGAAACCGGCAACATCTGAACTGAACGACTATAGGCCTGTCGCTCTGACGTCTGTGGTCATGAAGTCCTTTGAACACCTTGTGCTGAACCACCTAAAGAACATCACGGACCCCTGCTGGACCCTTTTCAGTTTGCCTACAGGGCAAACAGGTCTGTGGAGGACACAGTCAACATAGGGCTGCACTACATCCTCGAGCACCTCGACAGCACAGGGACCTATGCAAGGTTCCTGTTTGTGGATTTCAGCTCTGCTTTCAACACCATTATCCCGGAACTACTGACCCCCAAACTTCTCCAGCTCGATGTGTCCCCTACGATCTGCCAGTGGATCCTCAGCTTCCTGACGGGATGGACACAACAGGTGAGACTGGGAAGAACATCATCATCAACACGCACGACTAGCACTGGAGCCCCACAGGGATGCGTCCTCTCTCCACTGCTCTTCTCCTTCTACACGAATGACTGCACCTCAACAAACTCAAGACAGTAGAGATGATCGTGGACTTCAGGAAACATTCTTCACCACAGCTGCCCCTCACACTATCCAACTGCCCTGTGTCAACCGTTGAGACCTTCAAGTTCCTGGGAATCACAGTCTCCCAGGACATGAAGTGGGAGGTCAACACCAACTCCATCCTGAAAAGGGCCCAGCAGAGGATGTACTTCCTGAGGCTGCTGAGGAAGCATGGCCTGCCACGGGAGGTGCTACGACAGTTCTACACGGCAGTCATCGAATCAATCCTTTGTTCATCCATCATGGTTTGGTTTGGGGCCGCCACAAAAAAGGACAAAATCCGACTTCAAGGGACAGTTAGGACGGCGGAAAAAATCATTGGCACCTCCCTACCCACTCTTGAGGACTTGCACACTGCAAGAACCAAGACAAGGGCACAGAAAATCCTACTGGACCCCCCGCACCCTGCCCACCACCTTTTCCAGCTACTCCCCTCAGGCAGGCGCGACCGATCCATGCGCACCAAATCCAGCAGACACTGAAACAGCTTCTTCCCTCTTGCCATTAACTCCCTAAACAGTAATCTAAATCTACCTGTATAGTGGCTCTTTGCAATTTTGCACAACCCTGTGGAACAGCAATACCGCTTTAATCATTGTAGCTCCAGCTCTGTACTGACTTGAACCACTGTCACTGATCTATACTCCGCCGCACCAGACACTTTAAAGCGCTCAAGGACATCTGTACAATTGCACATTTGTTGTACTACAAATACTGCTACTGGTCACTTTAAAATGGTGATATGATTTTCTGCACCAACTGTACAACTGTTATAGTATTTTATTCTACCACTGATCACTTTCGCTCTGCTTGATACAGTGAAACTCCTCTAGAACGAAACCTACATGGGCGAAAATACCCCCTAATGTGAAAAAATCTTCATGCATTAACACCATTCCCATTCTACTGCCCCCCATACGATGAAAAAAAACCCCTGTTGTGTTATACGAAATCATTTTCTCTGCTCCAGCCTCGTGAAGACGTTGACTACAACGAAGTCTAATCCAACAGCGACCTCTACTGCTTCGTTCGGAAACGGCAACAGCAACCACCACACTGGTTTACATAGTGAACAATGTTTATTTCGGTCACAGCTGTGAGTTTCCTGGACGCAACATACTCATAGCTGCTCTGCCATTGGCTTACCGAGCATCATCCTGGCCTCCAGTTAGCGTAAGGTTTTTAGCCTTCGAAAGCTAACTATGGCCACCGAGGACTACGAAGCATCCCGTGGCTGGCTTAAAAGTTCATTGCATGACATCAGCTGAGCAACGCTGTCTTGGGTGGCGATCGAGGGGAGGTCGAGTTAGAGACAGTGAGATGGTGGAAAGAAAAGCCACCGGGTCCAGGAAGTATTTGTTATTGGTAGATTCAGACAAGCATGGACCTTGCATTGCTAAAATGGCGACAAAACAGACCTTTGGATGTCAAGCAGCTAAGACAAGAAGAGCTCTGATGCTGTAAGAGAGGGTAAAAGTGATCAAAATGAAAGCCGGAGCAATCAAAGTAAAAGACATTATCCAAGAAATTGATGCAAGTGAAAGTGAATGCTGATCGTAAATTTCGCAATTTTTTTCCCTTTTGTTCTTTCTACACTGACAATATGAAGTGTCAAATAAGTGTG